TAATATATCGCGAAGTCCACATTTATTTTCTCCTCTGTAATATTGCAAGACAATAATATTATGTGATTTTTGCCGTATACTTTAGATTTAGTTCTATAACTTGTTTACAAATACAAAAACTGTAGTGAAAATTGGTTGCAAAATAATCAGTGATTTGCGAGACTCCATGTAGTAAATATCATTCTGTAATGTTAGTCAATAAGAATTCACGTTAAATCTTACGTGAATACTTGTTTCTTTGAGATAATTTCTCATCTCTCCACAGATATTTCCGTCCAAGACTAAATGTAACAAACATGTCTTCTACTATGAATGGCTTACGAGACATTCATGGATATTTATAAACAAGGAAGACTTTTTAAGAAGAAGTTTTTGTAAAAAAATAGTGAACGTGAAAAATGAGTTAAAAGAGACTCAATGTACCTCAGTTTCAATTAAAAGAGACTCAGTCCCAATGTCTTAAATGTCTCAACATGAATATGATGTTATTATATCAGTGATTCATTCAGGGGGTGATTCATTGGAAAAACACACCAGCGTGTTTCTCACCAAATTAAAAATAAATAATTCTGTTATCCTTTTAGACTCGGATGCACTTATTTCTGTAGAATATGTTTTTGTAATTTTTCAATTTCGTCGCAGCTTGAATATCATCCGAACGTAAAGATTTCCAAGATTCGAAGCGCTGTTCGGGTGAAGCGCTCGGGAGGTCTTTAGTGCCATTTGCAAACAGCGAGTTCTATTCAATTCTCACGGCCGACTAAAGAGCTGATGGTGACGACCTAAAATCGCGGACGATCAAAAGGCCTCGCAATATTCAGAACGTTTGAAATTACCATCCCAATTCCAATTCCATAAATTCATAAATATTCAGTTTTCGCCGCCAATAAATGCTTCGAAAACCCAATAGCAGTTTGATCTTGTTGCAGAAATAAAAAAAAAATTGAAAAAAATTCCAGAAGATAGCTGATTTTTAGGACAATATTTGAAAATTTTCACGTGAACCCGGCGAAATTAAAACTTTCACATCAAGAATCATTATTTCCAATGGAAAATCATTCGGCTAATTCTATGAAAAAAACCCAACAACAACACATTTTTCGTTAAAAATGAAGGGTGCCTAGGGGAGAGGTCTAAAAGTTCATGAAAAAATGTTTTTTGTGGTAACAATCCTTAGAAAATATTTACTTTTCGATTTCAAGTGGGGGCACTTTTTACAATCTTATCCAGCTAGGGCCTTTGAATATTATCAAATAATATTCTGATGTAATTCATTGTAAGTGGGCATGAAACTGTTCTGCGTTGCGCCAAATGACGTCATTTCAACACAGCTGTAATATTTTCGAATGTTTTCCAAGAAGTGTTTAGAATCATTTCCCATCTCAGAAACCAATGAGCGTAATGGATCTAGGGGTGGCACCTATTGTGGAAATTTTACTTTTCTACCAGTACAACATAATCCAGTACATTCGCCGCTGTATTGTAACACCTTAAAATATTGGCAAATGATTTTCATTTCCCCAATTCTTCCTGATTTGTTGTCACAATAATCCACTTCCGGATCGTCGTTGAATGCTGCTTGTTCCAGGATCAAAGGAGCACTGCGTCTGCGCACTAATCGCTCAATTTCGTTGTGTCGTGCTGGCTGTTGTGTTTGATGTGCTCGAGCTCGTTGCATTCTAAGCCTATCATTTTCAGTCACTATAGAATGCAATTCTGCCACGACTATTATTATCTGGCTCGCGCTGGTCATCAGTGCGCTTTGCACGTAAGGCTCATACTCGTCGCACGTTTGATTGAATTCGACGACCTATGTGAGGTCGTCGTCCCCTTCGCATTGTAAATAATGAAAGTAAAGAAAGTTCTACTTAGTATCGCACTTAGCGATAGTGTTACTATCACAAAGGATTAGAAAAATATGTCAAACTACATAAACAAATGAATGTCTTAACATAAAAATTATCTATTATTTAATTAATACATTTTTTAACCTTTAGTTAGTGAGTTTATTAAAAACAGATTGATATCTGAACAATGGAATGAATATGAATTTCTGAGGCAGTTTTGACGGGAACGCGAGAAAGAGCCGTTATGAAATCGCTATTATTACTATTATCCTCGGACTTTTTCCATATTTTCTCACCTTTTAAACTTTCCCTGGACTTACAAGAAAATTTTAAAACCAAAATTAGTCAAATCGGTCTACCCGTATATATTTCAAATATTTGAAATATTTTCATTATTTTGAAACAATAAATAAATAAATATATTTCCCATTATAGAGAGTATTAATAGTTGCCTTGGAATTCTGGTGTAGATTTTGGCAGGAATCATTATAGTGAAAATGGAAACAACACTAACGAAGGATGCGAAGCGACGAACACTAGCGAAGGATCAGTTTCATGATGCGAATTGACCTTTTGAGAAAATTATTTTGAAATTACTGAAAAACATATTGTGTAAGTCACTTAAATAATATATCGTAACGATGTAGTCAAGAAACATCCCGTTAGAGAAATTCTCTTGCCTGCTCAGGGAATTCAATTATTTTGTAGGGCAATAAATTTCATTTTTTTCTTACAGATATAGACTTTTATTTCTTCTCGAGACGGGAAAATTTTGACAGAACACCATAAACTGAACTCAAGCACGTTTAATTGAAATACCTTAGATTTTCTGTCAATTATCGATTTCTGTTTCTGTAATTGAGAAACATTCCCAGAATAGTTTCAGATGGTACTTGCTTTTAACGTTACCGTATTTTAACTTTCCTGTATACATACGTGTATACGGAGTAAATACGTAGTATAGGGAAAGTTATGTAATGCTCCGGAAAATCGATTTCGAGATTTCAACAAAAATACACAGTTTGGGTCTCCTAATACTGTGAAAATATTTATTTTCAAAATGTCCGTCCGTCCGTCAATCTGTCTGTCCATCCGTCTGACTGACTGGAGTATGTGAACAACACTAGCGCCTAAACCATGCGTACGATTTTTTCCAAATTGGATAAACCCCTGTCCATTTGGACTGAGTCAAAGATCTACGAATTAGAAAATCATTCATTTGTTTTTGGTGTCACTTTACACAAAGTCTCTTGATCATTGAAAAAAGTTTTCAAAAACGGTTACAAATTTTTTTTAACTTCTAAGAAAATAGTAAAATACACTTATAAAGGTGAAATAGATCCGATGTTCACGGTTAACTCTGAACTTTCGAAAATTTCAGAATTTGAAGTTTTTTCGGGGTCTTCCTACAACTACCAAATTAAAGATAGAGATTGTAGGTGTCATTGTCGTCTAGGTTGTTTTCCTTCGTCGCCCGAAAATCAACCTTTGTCACATTTTCTTAATTACTCGGCTCCGTAATGCAACAACTGAAACTACCATAACATATTACTATTATAGAAGTACTAAACGCACGTCGTAACTGGATAGCCAAGGTCGCTGATTGGCGAATAAGGCGTCAGTATTTGGAGGTCGATTTGCCCCGGAACTATTAATTGTGCCAATTCTGTGTTGCTGCAGGAAATAATTGATGATTCCATAAACTTTACTGAAAACCATTTGAAGCAATTGTTATCTCAAATACTATTAATGAAGATACATAAGCTGGAGATTTTCGAACGTTCAAGTTCTCTGGAGGAGCATTCTAGCGATCAGCTTCTCGGATCAATAGTTTTCGTTTTCTATGAATAGCGAAGAGAATGCCGGAGCAGTGTCTTCACCAACGGACCATGTACTGCATGCAATCTTTCTTTGCATCCTTGCCCTTCCTCTCCCCATACACCACACAAATTTCCATGCACTACCACACATGTCGAGAGACCAGGAGCTTAGAGTTTCTCCTGGCTGTAACGATGGCCCGTGGGGGATACTCGTGAAAAGGGAAACTCGCAAGTTGCCGAGTTGCCGACTTGCTGGATCTCCCGTTCAAGCAAAAACGAGGATGATGAACTCAATATTTGACATCCCCTAATCAATATTTCTTAACTTTATTAGTGTTTCCGGAAGCATCAACTGCTAAAGTCATTAGTCCTATAAGTGTAATGTTTGTTTTATTGCGGGAGGAGGTGGGGTACCTAGACGACGGGTTTTCCCAACCAGGAACAATGAGGCGAATTTTATTTATTTTATGTTATGCTACAAACGTATGCAAGTACTGACCAAGATTATCTTCTAACGAAGGTCTCCCTCCTGTACTTTTAGAAGGGGCTGATTTTCCTTCCCTTACTTTGGTTCCGCTTTTCGAATCTACTCTTCCTTCCCGATACGGTATATTAACAGGCTCTTAATTGATTAATGTTTCCGGGCACGCCCATTAGACCCGTTAGAGTAGTGAATGTTGGTATTGCGGGAGTTGGTGGTACCTAGATGGCGAGATCCAGCGCCGACGTACATGTCTTCTTGAGTGTATTTCCCTTCTTCATGTATCTCCACCAGCGGTGCACTGCCGTAGCTGGCACAACATCTAGACTTTATACTGGATGGCCGTGTGGTAGTGCTGCGTTTGTAAGTGTGTGTTAGAGGAGAGGATACGAAGAAGAAGAGGAAGGAAATATCGTGCGTGGTCCGTCCACTAATCTGACTATCGTATGCCTATCATAAAAACGAAGTGAGGCACGTTTTTGACTGCAATCCTTCTTTCTTTCTTTCTCGAAATCTAGTCGCCAGGAAGCAAACCGTCAGTAGCATACACCAGCTGTGCACATGTCGCCGAAAACGCGACACGGCCTCCCCCACGCAAAGCGCTCCTCGGTGCAAGGGAGGAGCAGGAAGAGGCAGATAGGGGCGTCTGGGAACTCGAGCGAGCGCACCGTGCGGGAGCCTGGAATGGCGCGCGGCCGGCCGGCCGGCCGGCGTGCGGGCGAGCGCCGCCCTGATAATGAGAATCGCACCCGCGCCGACGCGGCGGCGGCGGCTTCGGCGAGAGATGTTCTGGGCCGCAAGCAACGACCCCGCGGTCCGTAGCAAAAAGCGACGGCGGCGGTGGCGCAGGCCATGTGCGCGGGCGGAGAGCCGGCCTCTGCAGCCGCCGCCGCCAGGGCCGCGCCGTCGCCGTCGCCGCTTGCAAACGCCGCCGCCTCCATAACCGCATCCGGCGGCACGGCGGGGCGGGGCACGCACCAAAAAGAGCGCGCTTTGCGAATGACGTCGAAGCTGCAGAAAGAGCGGCAATGCAATTACGGGGAGCGCTGCCGGTGCGGTTAACGCTCTCGGGGCTGTGCTTTCTCAAGGCGACTATATGGTACTCGCGGCAGATGCCTGGAGTATTGCCGCATGCTTTCCGGGGTTTTGATGGCTTGATGTATGTTTTGGTTTTAATTTCAATGTGAAACTCAAGATGAAGTACAATTCAGGGTGAGGTAATGTCTGAACAGCAATTTAAAGTTGGGCGTCAAAATGGAAATTCGCGTACTACACTATTTCCTTATTATGAAACTGATTTCTTTATCACATTAGGCTATTTTTACTCCTTGTTTATTCTCTCGCAAGTACGATTAAATATAGATTGCAAAATGTTTTTAATAATGGAATTGATGGAAGCTTGTAAGTACAAATCGTCAACTATAAATTTACTTCAATTCTCTCGATGCTTTTCAAATTTATAGATAATTTACTGTTAGGGTGGAAGTACCAATAAAGTCAATTCAATCGCATTTTCATTTGAATAGTATGCCAATTGACCAACAACTTCTTTTTCACGTGAAACTTTTTTACGACTCAATTATACTGTTTATTATCATTTTCAAGATGAAACATGAAATTTCTTATTAATATTGCCTTATCATTCCATAAATTTCTCATTCAAGACAATGTTTCTTAGCATTCCATCAAACGGCATCTGTTATTTTTCATTTAACAATAAGATTATTCCATTTATTGTTTTGATCATGATTCGTCATGCAGAAAAAAAATGTTGAACGGAACTAAAGCTCTCTGAAAGCACTCTAAAACCGAGTCCAATGAAAACAAGTGTTCGATCGGTAAAAGCAAAGAAGAATTCACAAAATTCACAATAATAAGTGTTCCCAACCCATGGTTGTGCCTGAGATGCAGGAAAACCCGGTCTGGTTTTACTTAAAACGTTTTTAATACTACAGTGACGCAAAATTCTTTCGCAGCACGTTTCTAGAAGGTCAAAAGGGTAATGAGAAATTTAACATATGTGAATGAAAATTGTAACTAAAACTGCAGAATATTTGTTGAATACTAACTGTACTTTATCTTTCAGTTCTTTTACTTTCAGAAATAATGTTTCAATAATGAAATCGTGAAATGCCACCATCACATATAATTTCGGTATCCACTCACACATCAGAATTACTGTTTCCATTTCATCTTTTCACTGCAATAAATTCTAAAATATGCTAAAGTTATTTTAAAAAATGGAAATAGAACACACAAACTATGTTTTAAATATCCTTCGTATTACTTTATGCATTTGATATTATCTTACATTTATTATTAATACTGCAATGAAGTGTGGAAAATTGATGATATAATATTTTAACTTAACATTCATTAAGATTATATTGACCAACAATACAATACTTTACAAGATAATGGTTAATTAAAAATAATAAGTAATAATAAATAATAAGTAATTTCACTGATCTAGCCTACACAACACTCCACTCCACTTCACTTCACTTCACTTAATTTCCTTTCACTTTACCTCACCTCACTGCACAGCACAGCATAAGATTTGACTGTGGCGTCTTCCTTCCACCTCATAATAATAATTATTACAGTAATTATAATTATTGTAATTTAGTAAAACGTAGATAAAACAAATATATATACATATACACCTTCCATATATATTATATATTTGTTTTATCTACGTTTTAATAAATTACAATTTAAAAAATTGAAATATATTTCGTAAAATTGACTGGCGTAATTATGTTTATACGTATAGATTGGGCTGTCACTCCACAGGCTCGGTTATTCAACTCATTCAGGCCACTTGTTTGTTTACCAGTGAAAAGGGGAGAGGAAAGATGAGTAAAGAGTTAAGAAAAACGAGAGATAAACGTCTGGAGACCAGTATTACACAACCCGATTTTGTGAGATGAATGAATTCATTGAAATTTAACAGCGTTATTTCCTCTCGTCATAAAGCAATAATTAGTTTCAATTTTGAAAGACAATCATAAAAAATCAAAAATGTTAAAAGTGAATGAAATATGTCATTAAAGAGCCTAGAAAGCATCAATTGACTGTCCTGATTACAAGGGAATAGAGAATTTTACTCATATGAATTTAAAATAGCAAACTTCTGGGTGTCGGGACATAAGCTAGACCCTAAAGAGTTGTGCAAACTCTGGGTAGAAAAGAGACAATTTATTAGGAAAACTTTTGCCCACAATTTAAACTCATTAAATCAAAAATTTTAATTTCTAACAAAATGATAGGACGTGATTTTCATTTAAAAAAAATTGCATGTGAGATTCTCAGTGCAGCAAAATATTTATTACCTACATGAATGTGAAAGAAAGCGTTTGTGTGTATTTAAAGTTACCCTCACAAGAATTTGCAGGTGAAAGTCCATCTTCCCAACCGTCCAGACAAACTTGGACACCCTTCGATCCGGGGGAGAGGCGCTTTGACCAATCGCTGCAGACAGAACCTTTGTGCCTACGTGGTTGGGCCAGTAGAGACGCTGTCCCCAGGGGCGGAGGCCTCGATTGTAGACGTGAGGCGGAAATCCCGTCAACTTTCCCTGCCAAAGGAGAGATTTTGCCTACGCGTACACCATACGAAAAAATATTTCTGAGAGGGGTTTTCAGTCCAGAATTACTGTCAATTCGCCAGTAAATAATTAACATTTTAGCAACAATTATACTATCTTTTAGCAATCAATTTGTAACTCTGTCAAACTGTTATATTAAAATGTTCATCTCAGACACAATTTGCTGATCCTTTCCGGCCGTTCTTTTGCTTATTTCGAATTTGTTTATAAAAATGTAAATTGTTGCAAACTTGTTCAGTGTTGAAAAAAGTAAGTTGCCGCAAGAAGTTACCAAGTGAATGAATGCTGCCCAAATCATCAGTGGATTCTCACTCTAGAATGCCGAACCTGTGACGAATTAATATTTTGTACCAAGTGTATGAATCCCAATACTCGAACGTGAATCTAATCTAATGACATTGCTTTTACCATTTAAACATTTTAAATATTTACAAAACGCCATAAAATCACCTATTTCCGGGCTATTATATCGTCAATTCGATGAATGTAAGTGTTTAATGTATTGGTGAATGACGAAGATATACAAGCTGCGATTAATTCATGTCTCCGCCAGAGGTTTCTATACCGGCGTTCTTGAGTGAGAATCTATTGATGATTTGGGTGGCATTAATTCAATGTTAACACTCCTTGCGGCAAGCGAATAGGTTAATCGACTATTCTTTTTCACATTTATCAGTAAATGAACCTTCGTTTAAATTCCCTGTCGAAGTCACACGAACCAGGATCATCGAAAAGTTCCAGAATAATGAAACCTTTCATAGCTCAACTTGCCCTTGAGAGAAAATATTATTGGCACTATTGCTTCTGGAGCCAGCTTTTCGACATAATGAACTTTGCAATATATCTTTGTAACCAATTTCCTTTCTTTCCGATAAATATAGAGAAATGGAAGTTGTACTACTGAATATAGAATATAAAAAAAGAATATAGCTTCTGTTCATATTCGCCATAAAACTGCTTCTCTCGACGTTATTAAATGTACCAGATAATTTTTTATATTTCAATAACACTTAAGCGAATTTAAAGTATTGAAACGGGAGTTTTAATGACTTTATAATAAAAAGGAAAGGTTGAATCATTATAAAATAGACATAGTTACCGTAAGACAAATTGTTACTACAATTATCCTATGGAACTACCAATAAACGTTACATGTTGTTTGTTATTTAGAAGAAATGGTAAAGACAATCACTTCGCTCCGAAGCATCGTTTTTCGCTTCGAGGCCGCGATATCACTCTGCCCTCAACATTAAGCGTATGAAGCGAACAACGGAAGCGACACAGTGCTAACCACTGTTTTCAATATACTTGTGTGCGAGGAGCGAATGTAATGAGTGCAAAAAATGGGGCGATGCTAAATTCTTATAAACAATGGAATATCTCGAAAACGGAAGTTGATATTAATTTATTTTTATTTTTAATAATTAATCTTTGTGGTAAATGTCCAGGCAACGTGAGGCTCCTTCCACTAGTTATGTTAACGTCAGTGTAGCCATATAATTTAGTACACTTTGAAAAAACAATAATCTTTCCTAGTGGACATTTGTCAAGTTTTTGTGTGTACTTTCTCGTCTTACTACGCCCCTAAGTAGTAGAAATAAGGTATTGTACTTCTAGGGCAATAATCGTCCATTTTCCAACAGCAAAAATCGTATTGTGGGGACCTGGTAACAACAAAGTTGATAAATGTTTTAGCCATAAACTTAGACACTGAGAATGCTTAGGATATAGCGTTGATACGTGGAGTCCTAAGAAAATCACAGCATACTGAAATTGGAAGAAATTTGTTTCAATTAATTAAAGGCCTTACAAAAGACACGGTGATTCAAGCGAGAATCAGTAGTTGCCTTTCAGAAGAAAAGCAGATAGAAAACAGAGTACCTCAAGGATTCATAATTAACGTCACACTACTTCTTCTGGCAATTAAAGACGCAGGCGCAAATATCGAATCTCCATTCTTTCCAGGATAATATGCAGATGATATAACTGTTTTCTGTAAACGAAAATTTATTTCTTCAAGTCAGCATATAAGAGAGTACAAAAATATTTGGAATGTGCGTACTTTGACTCAAAAAAGGCATGAAGAAAGAACATACAACGTTTAACCGATGATTGTAAAAAGACGCTAATCATCTTCAAATGCCTTTCACCTAACAATCGGGGTGCAGATAAAAAACTGTAGTTATTAACATGAAAAACCGCAGTGAGAGATAAATTAGATTATGGATCTGAAATCTATGATCTCAGAAACATGGAAGTACATAACCGATGCTTCAGAATATGCCTTAGATGCGTTCGCGTAAGTTCCATTAGAAGCATTCTAATCGAAGCAAAGGAACCAAACTTATAACATCGCAGTCATACATTAATGTTGAAATACATCATCAAAGCTTCTACATCTATTAATCCGATAATACTTCATGACGTTTAGCCAGTAATTCAAATTGAGTGCAAAGAAGAGTCTGGATACTTTTCTCTATAAGCAAAGATTAAATCACTAATGCAAGAACTTGGTATCTCGGAACACACAAAGTAAAGAAAATGTAATATTCACCCTTGAATAAAACCAGAAACAGAAACCAAACTGACCTTTTCTTTTCTGGGTGAATCCAATCCCACAACAGATATTTAGGATTAATAATCTGCTGAATTTTCAAACACGGATCTTTAATGTCTATGTAAACATTTTCGAAAATATGAGCAGTTATTGCGAAATTATGCCTGAGAAGTAGGCAATTTTTTAATCAATTTCTCAAACACAACACCTTACTTGTTCTTTCCTTACTTGTTTCCTGCGATAGAGCGTTAGAGGCTTACAAAGTGTTTCTTGCCCCATTTTTGGCAAACTTTGTATTTTTGGCAATTGCAAAGAAATGACTCTGTAAAAGTATAATATTGATGAGGGAGATTACGGTTTTAATGAAATATGTTCTAAAAAGTTAGGTCTTTAAATAATGTCTTGTATTTTTTTAAACTGAATAGTTTTCGCACAATTTCTCAAAACTTGTCCAACAAAAGTAACAACAAATATAAGTTTAGACATCGTCTTCGTTAGGTCCAGCTGCGAATTTGTTTAAGAAATTGTAAATCTGCCTTCGTCTTCAAACGAAGTTCAAAGACATGCACACAGGAGGGGAGGCGGGGGGCAAAGCACCATGGGGGATTTTGAAAGGTTGCTGTGGCCTTACGTAATAAAACATTTTCCCCTTAATCATTTTAATTCTCTAATAAAAATGATTTGTAGAACCCACAATCAGACATCAGGATAATGCAATTTATATTTTTTTCTCCCCAGAACGGTATGAAATTTATTCCTTAATTTTCTCTGGAAAAGTGGTAAGAACGACTGGAAATGGGGCAGGTTCCCTTTTCATTAAACTATATAAATTTTTTAAAAATTTGCCATCAGCAGTAAAATTCGACGGATAGCAGCGCAGAGATGACGCTGGGGCAGCTGAGCCTGTGATCGGAGGAGAGGCTGGACGGGCCGTGACGGGGAGGGAGGGCGGGAGTGTGCCGTGGCGGAGGGATTTAAATAAAATTACTTCCATTTAACATTGGGATGCATCGTTCCTTTTCCGGACTAACAGATGACTGTGTCGAATAAATATCCGAGCGAGGCGGGTTACTTGAGCTAGAATCAAATAGAAGTTCAAGAGAACGAACAGCGTGCGCTATCGCTGCGCCTGCGCCAGCGCCCTGTCTCTTCTGCGTCTTCGAGTGCAATGCGGCGCCGGCTCAGTGCAAGGCCTGCGCTTCCGACCGCGCCCCTGGCCCGGAGGCGGCGGCGGCGGCGGCGGCGACGGCGCGCAAAGGTCGTCCGTCTGGGTGCCGCAGCGGCCTCCGCCGCGCCGGCCAATTGCCTCAAATAGTGCGCGGACCACCCCGGGGGTCGCTGCCGCATATGTGCATTCCAGGGTCGTCCAGCCGGCGTGGCGGCTGCCCGCTCAATCCGGCGACCTGCGCCCTCAATCACTCACCTGGCAGGCCGGATAGTCACTCACCTGGCAGGCCAGGTTGAACGGTAGAGAACTGTCCAAGTGCAGGACAAGGTTGAGAAAATTGGGGTTAGTATACGAAGAGACATTCTAGGAAGTTAAAAATCTGCGGCAATGAAGCAAGTGAACTGAACGGAATGCGATATCCCCATCTGAAGCTTCTTGGAGAAAGATGGCCTTTGTCGTGGACGGGTACAGCCTAAAACGAGACAAGATTTCTGGCACCGTTTATCCATTAAATTTCTATTTGCTGATGGCCTTTTAGTTGTAAAACAATTTTCAGCGTATTTTTGGATTTATGAAATGGGTTTTTAAGCGATGGTAAGTGGTATCGACTCCGTCATGGTCGCATTTTTAGGATAGTTTCCTATATATTTTTATTTGTTTTCGGCCGATTTGTTTCACATTTTGAAGGGTTTCAATGCAGCGGTTGATTTCGTGCTGCCCATTTTTAAGAGTAGATTCGAAAGTTTCTTCTCTCTTTTGCCTCCAATTCGTCCGTTACACTAGGTACAGTACAGTTTCAACATTTTGGAAAATGTACAAAATTTTTCACATATTTAATGTTGCATTCTTTTTTAATACATTTGAAACGATTTCAAAAAATTAAAAAATAAAACAACCATGAATAACTTACAAAAATAATTTCGTTGTTGAAAAATAACAAATCAACGAATTAATGAGTACAGCACTGCACATGCTGACGTTTATAACTAAAAACGTCAACTTTTTTCATATTTTATGTCAGTATACAATAAGGCACATGCTGAGACAGATAGTATGACAATATAGGTATCGACTAATAAGTCCATCCGTTTGTCAAATTACATTACATTTTAAAATGTATTTATAGGTTCTACATGTCATTTTTAGTAGATAATTAAAATGTTTGAGGGGAAAATGTTTTATTACGTAAGGCCACAGCCATCTTTTAAAATCCCCCATGGGGCCATTTCCCCCTGCCTCCCTCCTGTGCGTATGCCTTTGAACTTCGAATCTGGACGAAGGCAGATTTACAACTGCTCAAACACATTCGAAGCGGGACTTAACAATCAACATCTAGGCCATTGGCGACCATTATATAATTTTGTTGGGCGAGTTTCAGGAAAATGCGGGAACAGCACCTCCACAACAGACCATCGGTAAAGATCCTTCATCCTTTCAGCGCTGTCCAACCTTTTAATGGTTCGATCACAGCTGACTTATTCTTAGGCGGTTGCGAGCCCCATGTAACTATTTCATCACACCATTTTACAACTAATCTACAAATATTAATTATGATGATACTATTATTATTAATAATAAATACAACAATAATAATAATGATAATAATAGACATTGCAAGTAGCATAATTTGCAAGTCTTTAGACATTGCAAGTAGCATAATTTGATCCGGGGTGATGCCGAATACGTGGTCCATGACAGAAGTCATTAGACATTGGATAAGTCTTTAGAACGTGAATTGAGAATAATTGCCTCAAAATAATAATAATAATAATAATAATAATAATAATAATAATAATAATAATAATAATAATAATGAGCCCTTACGACGGACATGTGAAGGTCGCGGTCGAGGTAACTGACTTTCCAGATTTCGCGAGCACTGCATTCGGACCAACTAGCGCAAGGTTTAAAATTGCAAGTAGCATAATTTGATCCGGGGTGATGCCGAATACGCGGTCCATGACAGAATTCTTTAGACATTGGATAAGTCTTTAGAACGTGAGTTGGGAATAATTGCCTCAAAAGTGATATTCATTTCCATTACCTCTTCCAAAGCAAAGAAATGGTCCATTAAAGGGAAATACATCAGTAATATTCGAATTTGTCAATTGAAAACGTTTTGAATCGAAAGGATCTTGATTTAGTAATTGCGTTTACTAAAGAGTGTAAGAGAGTGCATTAACATCCGTTTAACGATCCTTGTCTGTTAGTTTATAGAGACTCCTTAATTTTTTAAAGTGTTGATATATACAGCAAATAACAGAATGATTGACATACACAACATGACACAAAACGAAAACAAGGAAATTATTCGTCAATAAAATACATTTTGCCCCTTAGCAAAAATGTTTTTTCACATCATAATTCAAGAAAAATAAACCTGAAATAAACTACTAAGAAGTACAGTATACGACTCATATAAACATTATTCAAATTTCGATTGATAGAAATCATTCGGTAAACATATTTTCGAACGAAGCCATTATTCCTCGTCATACTTCAATTATACTCTGCGCTTACAATCCCCGCTTCGGCGTGTACTCGCGTTTTCCTGGATTTGGAGGGGAAACGACAGTGAAATCAGTGGAAGTTGCCCGTGCTCGCAGGAGCGCCGGGCTTCCCGGACATGCATGTAAACCGGGCGGGCGCATTTTGACATGGCTGGCTTGGGAGATAACAATGTAGGTTTCTAAAGTGAATCGTCGTATGCTAAATGGGCCTCAGTTAGTAGAATACGTTTTGAAAAAATTAATAAAAATGAAACAACCTTTGAACCAATCCTGCTATTGTTCTGTAACTAATATAGGAAATGCAAGAAGACAACACAAATATCTACCTGTGGCTTAAAATGTGCAAACGTATATATTATGTTAGTAAAATGTTAAATTGGTTAGTCTACATAGGCTCTTTTAGTATGATTTGGAAATATACTTAATAATGAGTCTACTTAAGAACATTTCTTGGTGTTATTTTAAGTTTAGTAACAGAGTAATTGCGTGCTTTATTGGAGATAATTTAATGCTGAAAACAACTATGTCTCTATTTACGTTCATTATTGATCACTGCAGTATTTGTTCATATAACTGGTGTTTGAGAGGAATATATTGATGTAAGTTCTGAATATCTTACACTTTCACTTCACACTCGGATACGGTAGTTGTGAAGAAAAAGTCACATTAATTATTTCAGGGGCATTAAGGTGTAAAGTGTGACTGACGGGGAAGTCTATTGCTTCTCTTGTCACAATTAACCAGGGAAATTACAATTACCCATAATTACCCATAAAAATAACTTCACAAAATCAGATTTAAACAGTTAAAAAATGTTATTTAAAATATTAATACGGTTACGAACTTACAAAGCTCTCCCTCCGAAACACTTTCTGAATATATCCCTGCATATCATCAGCTCCAAGCGTCTTGAAATTATAGCTGAGGCAATACTGAAGAAACGTCCTTGTGCTACAGAAGCTGTCACTGAGAGATGATGTTAATCGATGGGCTGGAGGTCTCAATTGTGCCATTTCAAATTGTAATAAATAGGTTCGTAACTGACGTTATTCGCGAGACAAATACGGATGCCTACGCCTTTATGAGAGATACTACTTAAAGGCTTGAAAAATTCATGACTTGTAAAATAGAGCACACAGTATGGGACTAAGTCAACTGTCCTCTTTGCATCTTTCTTCTTCTCATTTCAATCCTCTTTCTTTTTTTCTTTCCTCTCCTGTTTCTTCCTTTCAACTGAACCCTTTGATTCTTTTTTCCTATCATTCATTACACCTATCATTCTATCATTCTTTACTCCTATCATTCTATCGCCTTCTATTTCTTGTTTTATTTATTGCTTTACTCCTTGTACTTCTTTTCCTCATTTATTTTCTTTTTATCGTCGGCAGCCCAGCTAATATCAATGTATCCTCACCATTGCAGGTGCCACTGTAATACGGAGGGTGTAATGCACAAATGTCAAGCGGATTGCATCAAGCAGGGTGGGCGAGAAAATGCTCAACCTTATACATTAATTCGATGTACTAAATTGATTTTAAATTAAAACTACTTTAAATTGGTATATGCTCCTTAGGAATTCTAAAAAAGTATAAAATCTACTTCTAGTCAGAAAGAGTTACTCATCTTTTTCATGAAGATGGGGGAAAAATATTATGTTGGGATCAATGCGAGGTGTCAATTAAGTACACTGTGTTTTCCAAGGTCTCAAGAAGGTATTTTGTATGGGTTTGCCTTTGGGGAGTCGCACTATTTCATATGATGACTACCATATGAAAACCGTCCTATCTCGGAAACTATTCGAATTAGAGAAAATCTAACCACGAATCAGGGCGTGACACAGTAAATCTCACATTTTTCCTTTTCTGATGATTTTTTATTGTTGGCAATATTAAAACCATCATATCACAAAATGACACGTGCTAAAGAAATTGTAAGTACATATTTGAAAGTTCGGTGTGATACATAGTTAATCACATATTTTTCTTTCTGATGATTTTTATTTGTTAATCTATGTAATTTTGTTCGATATTTTTATTTATGAACGGTAATATTTTTCAATAATTTGATATTACGGATGTACGACAAGGATAATAATAGGTGCTGCAGTACGTTACTTTTCAACTATTTGGCATCTCTCCTGGATAGAATGCCATGATCCCATTTGATAACTCGGACGATATCGTTGATGTAAATATAAGAATTATATTTTCTACTTCTAGTGTTCATGTACTTTTATTTTATAATTTTGTTTAGTATTGTATATAGCATTAATTAGTCGTAGTTATGTAATTAAGTAGCTATCGAAATTATTATCTGACTATATAAATTAATGTAGATGTGCACCACAGCCACTTTATTTGACTTTTTATTTGATTTTTATTGGACGTTTTCAAGAAGTAGCTGTGGTGCTAGTAGAGCAGAATTTTCAATGTTACCTGTTTTCATTATTACACGTTTTTAATAGTGCGAGAACGTTTATGATGTTGTAGCACCATTAGTTTAGAACGGACTTGAAACCATGCTTAATCAGAAAAGAGAATCAGAATATGTTCCGTAGGTACTAAGAAAACATTCGAGCCGAAGGACACCACTTTCAGCATCTTCTTTAAGGAAAATTAGTTCTCGTGTGTCAGCAC